CCCCCCCCCCCCCCCCCCCCGCCCAGACCAACCCTAGTGTTGTGGGATTCTACCGGGTTTGTTGTCGAGTATAACTAAATCCAAAGGCTTTCTTATAAAGCTGAGTATTCAGAGTTAAGTACAAGTTTTTGGTTTCATGATTTTGTTGGATCCATCCTTGAACAGGATATGGCAGCTCACTCGGCTTGTGATTTTGGTGGAGGTAAAGTTGAGAAGCTTGCTCTTGCAAAATACCGCCAGTTGATTTGGCAGGGAAGGGTCGTCAAGTCTCAATTCGCTGATGAGGAATTAAGAAACCAAGGGCGTTGTCCATTGACTCCTGAAGAAATTGGACTCCTTTTGGCTGCTTTAGGTTTCAACAACAGTACGCGCCTTTATCTTGCTTCCCACAAGGTTGTTTGGTAGCATAAGTAGCTTTTTCACTTTACTTATGTGGCTGAAATGGCTGTCACTAAACGCTTACCAATGGGCCTTTGGATGTGTATATATGCTTTTAACAGGAGTCTCTCTTTTCTTGGTTTCTGTACTGCCAGGTTTATGGGGGGGAAGCAAGGCTCTCGGCGCTTCGTCAAATGTTCCCGCTAATGGAGGATAAAAGGAGCCTTGCATCTTCAGAGGAATTGGCTATGGTTGAAGGAAAGGCCTCTTTATTAGCTGCTGTGGATTATCATGTGAGCATGCAGAGTGATATCTTCATCTCTGCTTCTCCTGGAAACATGCACAATGCACTGGTAAGAATGTAGTACGGAGTAGTACATAATTTCACTAGCAGTGGGTTCGTTATGCCTCGTTTGGATAGACACTCAATTCCTGGGAATTCCCTTATTCCCCGTACGTAAGTCATTTGGAATCGGAATCTACTGATGTTTGTATGAAAAAACGTAGGTGGGACATCGCGCGTTTAAGAACCTGAAGACCATCAGACCAAACATGAAACTTCTTGGGAAGCTGTTCCAAAACAAGAGCATGGGATGGTCGGAGTTCCGGGAAGCAGTGGTGCGGGGTCACAAGAACCGACAAGGGCAACTCCAATTCCGCAAACAAAACCAGTCGATTTATACTTATCCTGCTCCTGATTGCCTCTGTCCAGTTGCTGCTGCTGCTTAAACAAACAAACATTCCCATTGAGGTTTTGATTTCCTCTGGTTTGATTTGAGTTTGTTTTTCATTTGAAATCAACAATGTTTTTAACTTTTCTTTTTTGGGCATTCACACCAGCCTAGATGATATTTTTATGGTGCTTTTGTGATAGTAATGGTTATTTTCTATTGATGCTATGTAATGAAAGAATGGAGTATAATGCCTAACTATTGAAAACCATCAAATATAGTAGTGCTTTTAAATTTATTTATTGGTTCGGTTAAATTTAATACTATATTCAGCTTCTTTGGAACATTTTTTTTAAATTTAAAGTACATTGAATATGATAGAAATTGCCTTCTTTTATTTTTATTTTTATTTTTTCCAATTAGACTCTTTTTAGAAAAAAATAATAAATTTAGAATAGGCCTTTTTTATGATGCATTGGCCCTGAGAAGTGGAAACATTACACGAGAAGCTCGTTCATCCACCGGCTTGACCACCACCGCTGCCCCCTACAACCTCCTACAGCCACCGTTCCATCCACCTCGATGGTGTTCGATAAGAAAAGTAAGCATCATTGTGTTTCTAAAGTAAACGTCATAGTTTTGCTTGACAAAGTTTAGGTGTTGAAAATTACTTGACGGCATTCTTTTCTTTAAACAAAAATAAAGTGAAATTAATTTTTTGACGGATGGTAAAAAAAAGTATGAAATTTATTTTGGACACAAGTGAGTAAAACTAATGCATTCATTTAAAAAAAAGGTAAAAAACAATGGGGTGGTTATGCAAAGATTCAATCTCTGCAGGAAGAAAAAAAGAGACTGAGTTTGCTTTCTTGTAATTTCATATATCCCCAGGAATAATAAAATTATGGTCAACAAGCAGGGAGGAGGCAGAAGCATTTGTTCTCCCTTCCCCTTTATTTATACAGCTTTTTTACAGCAGCGTTTGGTATATAAAGTTCATCTGTCTATGTTGTAATAAGTAAAAAAAACATCTCGATAACTAATGCCGTAACATATCGTATAAGAATTCATTCTACACTTTTAAAAAATCAAAAGAGGGTTGAGAAATAATTTCCAGTTATAATAGAAGAAAAAGAAGAGGAGATAAAAGCTATAAAGGCACTGGCTTTGAGTCTCGGTTCTGGACGGTTGATGAACCTCGGTAGCCAAAAGGGAAATAGATGATCGAATGTCCAATTCACGCCGACACCAACAAGGACTTGGAGCAATTGTAAAGAATTGAAGACTTCACCAGACATCCCTGAGATATCTCCCGTTCATTTGGAGATTCTTCACCGTGGCCTCTGCTTCAGACGAGCCTACGTTTTCCTGAATTAAAGAACAAATAGGAAAACCGTCCGTTACAAAGAAGCCATAGGTAGAATCTGAAAGAGCTTTCGAAATTGAGCTGTTCATTCATGGTTCTAAGGTCCACATGTGAAATGTGGACCTTCTCACAATTTTAATTGGCTGGTACGTGGATTTTTTTTCTTTTTTTGTAAAAGGCGCAATTTTTTTATGATATGAATGCACTAAGGCCCATAAAAATAACATGGACCTTAGGACCACGTAAGAATTAGTCCTAGGGGTGGGAGCTGATAATAGCAAGTCAGCAAAAATGTGACAGTAGAAAACCTGCTCCTGGACAATGGTATGTAGTGTGCGATGAACATCTCTAGCCATTCCTTTGGCATCCCCGCATACATATAGATATCCCCCATTGGAGATCAAACTCCATACTTGGGATGCCTGCAGACAAATAGAAAGAAAGAGGGGTGAATGTGTGATTCATCTCAAGAGAGAAACTCAATATTAAGTGCCACCAAAATGCTAAAAATAATATAAAATAAAATCGTACCCGTTCACTGATCTTGTGTTGAACATATTCTTTCTGTGGCCCTTCCCTAGAAAATGCAACAATTAGCTCTGAGATTGTGCCTTGCGCTTCAAAATGTTTGAGTTCCTCCTCATAAATGAAATCCTATATCCAAATATCCAGTCAATGTATATTGCAGTAGAATATCACTTGTTTATGTATTTTAGTTTGTAATTATGAAGATGATAAATTGACAGTTCACCATTCTTCTATTTCTACAACCAAAAAACAGCAGAGCTTGACCAAGTTGAACACCATTTTCCTTTAGAGCAGCTCTTTCCTGATGACCAAATAGACCCCTATTAGGTTTGTCTAAAAACAACAAAGACAGAATGAAATTGATTGCGAATTTGCAGTACCTGGAGAAATCCTCTAAATGGCGCCAAACCTGTACCGGGTCCCACCATGACGATTGGGATTGAAGGATCAGCTGGTAATTTGAAATTTGATGACCGAATGTAAATGGGAGCTGAACTGCAGTCATTGTGTTTTTCCAAAGGAGTCGCGTTCTGAAAAAATGGAGCATCACTATGTTCATGAAACATGATAAAAGTAGCAGATACAGTTTTGATAGCTACCACTCCATGAGTCCATGGGTCGGTACTTTTTTATATAAATATAAATTAAATTAGCACAGGTTTTATTGCAAACATATATAAACTTGAGAATGATAATAAACATTTGATCTTGAAACTAACAATAGATATTCAATCCTCACGGGTGGATATTTCTTTGTGGTACGGGTACCCACCCCACACCCCCCCCCCCCGACACACACACACATGTGGTTTGTTTTTCACCAAAACAGGAGTTTAGATATTTCCGTCACCTTCATCCATGTTGAACACACTCCTTTGTGAATCCGGCCAGTAGGAGTTGGACCATGAACTAAAGCACATGTTACATGGACTCTATGTGGAGCGAATCTGCAAGTCAAAATACAATATCCAAAATGTTGATCGATGATGAAGGGAGTGGACTTCATGTGAAGAAGTCCTTTAATATATTATTCAGAAAAAATATAAGACTCACTTGGGGGAAGAAGAGATAGAATAATAGCGAGGTTGTAAGCGAGGGGAAACTGCAGCAAAAAATACACCAAGGGGGGGTCTTGCTGAAGGAAACTCTGCCATAACCTCAAGGAGACTTCTTTGACTAGCAACAACCCATTGTGAATATTCATCCTAAAAGAAAATAATAGAAGTCATAGTACATAATTATGTTATTGTTTTTTGATGAATGCATAAGTTTTATTTTACTTCATCGATATTCTGGTTATGGAGCAGAGATGGCCATAATCTTAGAAGTAAAAAAAAGAATACCTTGCCCTGAGGCGATGCCAAAAATCTAAGCCTTTCTGCTTCATTAGGTTCAGCAGCATGACTAGCTAATGCAACCAGTGTAGCCTGAAAATGCAAATCATTTGTACTAAAACCCCAAAAAAACTCGAAATAAACTACGAAGTATATAATTATATATGTAGATGTACGGTATAACTTTATAATTGCATATAGCCGCCGTGTACCTTTCTAGGAGGACTCAACAGATCTGCATATCGTGCTAGTGCTTCTCTAAGGGTGCAAGGACCAGGGAAAGGTGGCTGCAAGGACCCTCCAAGTGGCGCACCATCTTCTTTGTCGGCATGGATAGAAAAAAATAAATCCAGAGGTTGACCCAACAGCTTTGCTGCTTCCTCAACAGTGTCTTCACAATTTTCGGCATAAACACCCACGTGGTCTCCTGTTTCGTATCTGGAAAATTAGCAAATAAAAATAAGGAAAGGTTCTAATAAGGTTGTACACCATCGCACTGAATGTGGAGTACATTTAACAATATGCATAATAGTAGTTCACGCAGAAAAATAAACTAATACAACTCCAATAATTGTTTATGAAGTAACAAGCATAGTTATAGCTATAAAAGTAAGCCATACGGAAAAAATGATAATTGCTATTAGGGCAGTCCAACCATAAAAAAAACCAAATTAGCTGACAAAATAACATTTCAAAACTTGCTGTTTTACTTCAATGAAATACAAAAGGCATGTTCTAAACACAACGCAAGGCACAACTAGATCTAACTTGCTTTCGTCTAGAGTCTACCCAAGCAATGACCATTAGCCTATTATTCAAAATTTTATTTTATACTTCCTTCATCCTGAAATAAACTTCGGTATATGAATTCACAGAGTTTGAGAAAAGTGTTGAAAAATAAAAAATGAGTGCTTGAAATTTTATTAGACATTGCGAGCCATATATTTTACTCCCAAAAAGGAAAAACAAAAAAGTGTGAAGTTTATTTTGGGACAACCAAAAAGGGAAGTGTGAAGTTTATTTTAGAACAGAGGGAAAACAAAGTATTACTCCATAGTTTATTGTGTTAGTTGGAGTAGTTAGTTTTTATAATTGATTTGGCAGTGGCTAAAATCCAGTATAAAGTAGATCAGGTTTGCAAAACACACTCTTGAGAAAGTAAGAAACTGATTTGCGTGATCGAACCATCTTACTGATTGCTTAAACAATTAAATGAACTTACACTATGCCAGTGCCAGAAATATCAAATTCTAAGTGTATGCATGAACGATCCGACTCATGCGTATGAAGCTCTCTTTGAACAGCAACGTTAACTCTGTACAGGAAAAGCTATTAAATACATTCAACGAAACACCAACAAAAGCAAATTAAGCATAGATGATCTAGCACCCACTTGCACGGATGATGCACATCATATACAGTGTTTCCGTTAGCCATACTGGTATGCTTATCCTTGTAAGTTCTAGTGGAAGGATCATGAACCACCACACGATATTCAAGAACTGTAGCAGTATACGGTGTAGATGCAGAATTTACATCATCCTCGTCCTTAAGTATTTTGTCCAAGTCCGGCCATAATAGTTCTCGCCTTGTAACATGAATTCATTAACATATTAAAACTTTCAGGAATACACCCAACAATAAATATACTTCCTTTTGGTGACATCCCAAAACAAGGTTTTATTTTCTTGTAAGGAAATATTTCTGAGGCTCAAATAATTTCTCCCTCCTTTGCATAAATTCCAACCACACAATTTCATTTTTTCATGAACTCCGTGTAAAAGTAAAAGAAAAATTCCTTTGGGGCAGAGGGAGTAATATATTTTCATCAATTATGTTATTTAAATTATTTT